CTGTGTTAGGATGAGCAGACTCATGTTTGTGAAGGATCTCGCTCAGGTCCTGTAGGGCTACTTTGTAATCCGCACGTGAGTGAATGTAAACAGCACATAAAAATATCACAGAAAACTCCCGCGGAAGATAAAGAGGGCGGCAGCTCAAGACCAGGCATTCCAGATTGGCAGTACATGTTTGGTTCACGACTCGAGTGTCCGTGCACCAGCGCTGATTAATTAAAAAGCACACACCTCCGCCTCTGGCCTTGCCCGTGGTCTCCTTCACTCTGTCCGAGCGGTGAGCGGTGAATCCCGGGGGCTGAACAGCAGAGTCCGGGACGTTCGAGTGGAGCCACGTCTCGCTGAGGCAGAACACAGTCCCGGGCCTCGCGCTGGCTCTGGACCCGACACAGGAGCTCGTCCGTCTTATTGGGCAGAGACTGGACGTTGGCCAGGTAGATGGAGGGCAAAGGGGTCCTGGAGGAGCGGCTACGAACGAGCAGACCGCCTCGCCTTCCCCGGTGTCTGCGCCTCCTTCGCCGACTCGAGGTGCCCAGCTCCACACCGCGGAGAGAACGCCGGAGACGCCCAGTCCCCTCGCTCTGTTGGCGGCCACCGCCGCGGCCCGCCTGCCGTGCTCCACCAGCCTCTCGAGTGGGACACTCGAGGAAGTTTGTGCACCTCAGTTCAGGTAAAACGAGTGACCCGTCACCCGCGTGATCCCGAATGTGCAGAAGTGTTTGCCGATCATATTTCACTGTGGCAAGTGAATCCCAGACGAAAAACAACAAAACATATATTGTGCGCACCAGAGCGTTCACTGCGGCGCCCTGACACGGCGCCATCTGCAGTATGTTAGTGAAGTGTTACTTTCACTTTCTATTTGACGGAAGAATCCATAAATCTATCACAAATCACTGTGTCCAGTTTTCAGACTCTGGCGGCTGCGACACTAGACTCAGGGAAAGATGGACCAGTTTCTCTCCTGAGTCACAACAATACTCATCTCTGAGGACTTTACAAAGCTGTCGATTCACCAACACAGATCAGAGAATCACACAGATCAGATACAGAGAGTGCAGTGTGTGTGTCTGTGTGTGTGTGTGTGTCTGTGTGTGTGTGTCTGTGTGTGTCTGCGTGTGTGTGTCTTCTGATGGCGTGCAGATCTCAGCCGTTTGTCTTCGTCTCTGATTCTAAAGCCTCACGGAGCATCAATATTTCAGCTCTTTGCTTTTACACGTTCTCATCGAGGGATTAACTCTGTCCCTGTTCAGCTGTGTCTGTGTGTGTGTGTGTGTGTGTGTCTGTGTGTGTCTGTGTCTGTGTCTCTGTGTGTGTGTGTGTCTCGTTGTGTGTCTGTGTGTGTGTGTCTGTGTGTGTCTGTGTGGTGTGTATCACTTTCTGCGTCATCATGAAACCAACTCTTTGAGGCTGAGATATTTCTAAACTTTGTTTCATGTGGACTCTGATGTTCTCGCCTCAAAGGAGAAAAGAATCGAGTGAAGTTCCATCTGAAGTTTTTATGTCATATTATTCTGCTGATACGACGGTTCTCCTAAAATATCACTTCCATCCATCCATGCTCGGGCAGCAGTCTAAGCAGAGACCCCCAGACTTCCCTATCCACACACACTTCCTCCAGCTCGTCCGACCCCAAGGCGTTCCCAGGCCAGCTGAGAGACATTGTCCCTCTGTGTCCTGGGTCTTCCCCGGGGCCTCCTCCCGGTGGGACGTGCCCGGAACACCTCCCCAGGGAGGCGTCCAGGAGGCATCCGGAACAGATGCCCGAGCCACCTCAACTGGTTCCTCTCGACGTGGAGTAGCAGCGGCTCTACTCCGAGCTCCTCCCGTGTGACTGAGCTCCTCACCCTATCTCTAAGGGAGCAGCGGCTCTACTCCGAGCTCCTCCCGTGTGACTGAGCTCCTCACCCTATCTCTAAGGGAGCAGCCACTCTGCGGAGGAAGCTCATTTCGACCGCTTGTTTCCGCGATCTCGTTCTTTCGGTCATTACCCAAAGCTCATGACCATAGGTGAGGGAGGGAACGAAGATTGACCGGTAAATCGAGAGCTTTCCCTTTCGGCTCAGCTCCCTCTTTACCACAACGGTCCGATACAGCTCTGACTGCAGACGCTGCTCCCTCTTCACCACAACGGTCCGATACAGCTCTGACTGCAGACGCTGCTCCCTCTTTACCACAACGGTCCGATACAGCGACCACATCACTGCACACGCTGCACCGATCCGCCTATCAATCTCACGCTCCATCCTTCCCTCACTCATGAACAAGACCCCGAGATACTTGAACTCCTCCACTTGAGGAAGGACCTCTCCACCCACCTGCAGAGGGCAAGGCACCTCTTTCTGGTCGAGCACCATGGCCTCAGATTTGGAGGTGCCGATTCTCATCCCAGCCGCTTCACACTCCTGTGGTTCCTGAACCGGACCCCCTCCGACCCTTGGCTGTGCCTAGAAATTCTGTCCAAAAAGACAGTGAACAGAACCGGTGACAAAGGGCAGCCCTGGCGTAGGCCAACATGCACCGGGAACAGGTCTGACTTACTGCTGATGCAAACACAGCTCTGGCTCCGGTCATACAGGGACCAAACAGCCCTCAGCAGAGGACCCCGGATCCCGTACTCCCGGAGAACGCCCCAAAGGACACCCCGGGGAACACGGTCGAACGCCTTCTCCAAATCCACAAAGCGTGGACAGGTTGGGCGAACTCCCATGAACCCTCGAGTATCCGATGGAGAGTATAGAGCTGGTCCAGTGTTCCGCGACCGGGACAAAAACCACACTGCTCCTCCTGGATCCGAGATTCGACCATCGGCCGTAGCCTCCTCTCCAGTACCTTGGAGTAGACCTTACCGGGGAGGCTGAGGAGTGTGATCCCACGATAATTGGAACACCCTCCGGTCCCCCTTCTTGTAGAGAGGGACCACCAACCCGGTCTGCCACTCCATTGGCACCGCCCCCAATCGCCACGCGATGTTGCAGAGACGTGTCAGCCAAGACAGTCCTACAACATCCAGAGACTTTAGATAATCAGGACGGATCTCATCCACTCCCGGCGCCTTGCCACCATGGAGGCTGCCAACCACCTTGGTGACCTCAGCCAGGGAGATGGAAGTATCCGCCCCAACATCCTCAGCCTCTGCCTCCGGGACGGAGGACGTGACGGGGGGATTGAGGAGAACCTCGAAGTATTCCTTCCACTGCCCGACCATATCCCCAGTCGAGGTCAGCAGCTCTCCACCCGCACCGTACATGGTGTTGGCAAAGAACTGCTTCCCCCTCCTGAGGCGCCGGACGGTTTGCCAGAATCTCTTTGAGGCCGACCGATAGTCATGTCCCCATGGACTCTCCGAACTCCTCCCAGTCCCGGGTTTTTGCCTCTGCAACAGCCCGGGCCGCGGCACGCTTGGCCTGTCGGTACTGGACAGCTGCCTCAGGAGTCCCCCGAACCATCATGGCTCGATAGGAAGAGAACATGGTCCACTCAGACTCCATGTCCCCCTCCTCCGCCAGGACCTGGGAGAAGCTCTCCCGGAGGTGTGAGTTGAAAGTCCGTCTGACGGGGCTCAGCAAGACTTTCCCAGCAGACCCTCACTACACGCTTGGGTCTGCCAGGTCTGACCGGCTTCCTCCCCTGCAGCGGATCACGATCAGGTGGTGTTTGGTTGACAGCGCCGCCCCTCTCTTTAGCTCCGCCCCTCTCTTCACCCGAGTGTCCGAGACACGCGGCCGAAGGTCAGATGATACGACAACAAAGTGGATCATCGACCTCGGCCTCAGGTCCTGGTGCCATGTGCACTGGTGCACACCCTTGTGCTGGAACATGGTGTTCGTGATGGAAAAACTGTGACTAGCAAAGAATGTCCAACAACTGAACACCGCTCGGGTTCAGATCAGGGCCGTTCTTCCCCTTCACCCCTCTCCAAGTGTCACTGGCAGTTCCCACATGGGCGTTCCTCAGGAGAATAACAGAGTCCCCGGTCGGTGCACCGTCTAGTACCCCTCCCAAGGACTCTCAGCCGCTGGTCTGGACCGTGGACCATTGAACGCCTCTGGGTCCAGTGTGTTGCTTGTTTCGCCGTCTCGCTGCTGACGCTGATGGAGGTGGAAGGAGGTCATGATGGAGGTTATTTTTGGCCCGGCCTCACGTCTCCGCTCCCTGTGAGATCTGACACCATCGACTGGAGATGGACGGATTTTCTGTCCCATTTCACCTCAACGTCCAGCTATAAATAGAAGAAGAAGAAAGGGCTGCATTCTCTTTAGTTTGCTCTGATCTGTTCTGTTAAATACTAAAGTCTGCTTTATAGAGATGCAAACTTATGTTTAACTTGGAAAAGCGATTGACTCTGAACAAAAATGTAAAATAAACAGGTTTCAATTCAAAAATATAAAACTCAGCAAAATGTTTTTCTGTAATTCAAAATGTGAAAACACATGACACAGACATTTCAAGCCTTTGTTTGGTATAATTCTTATGATTTTGTGCATTTAAGAAATATTCAAATTTTCTGAGATTCTTTAATTTGAGGTTTTTAAATAATGATCAACATTTAAAAGCTTGACCTATTTCACTGTAGTCTTTAAACAGTAAACTACAGAAGTGAATGGACTTTCAGACAGACCTGGAATAAGAGGCCGCTCCTGCTCTGCTTCAGGAAGAGATTAACTTCACCTTCGCTGTTGGAGTCAAAGAACCAGTCTGTGTTCGGTGCGCTACACTCATAATTAAATATATGAAATGAAGCGTTCCAGAAAGAAAGATTGTTGTTGTTTTGTCTGATTTTATTCTTTGAAAAGTTGTATATTTGTAGATTAACTTTAGTGCAATACATTCTTTCTTATACATAATCCACTCAAACTGATGCTAAAAGAGCCACGCCCTGAGGCCGCAGAGTGAAGCCTCCGGAAGCTCCAAACCTGAGCTTTAATGTGTAAAACAGCGCAATTATTGGGAGTTGTGCATATTTTCCCTGTGCAAATATAAAGTTCTCAACCGTGATGAAGAGGGCGGTGGTGAAGAGGGCGGTGATGAAGAGGGCGGTGATGAAGAGGGCGGTGATGAAGAGGGTGGTGGTGAAGAGGGCGGTGATGAAGAGGGCGGTGATGAAGAGGGCGGTGATGAAGAGGGCGGTGATGAAGAGGGCGGTGATGAAGAGGGCGGTGAGGAAAAGGGCGCTGGTGAAGAGGGCGGTGGTGAAGAGGGCGGTGAGGAAGAGGGCGGTGGTGAAGAGGGCGGTGGTGAAGAGGGCGGTGGTGAAGAGGGCGGTGAGGAAGAGGGCGGTGATGAAGAGGGCGGTGGTGAAGAGGGCGGTGGTGAAGAGGGCGGTGGTGAAGAGGGCGGTGATGAAGAGGGCGGTGGTGAAGAGGGCGGTGGTGAAGAGGGCGGTGGTGAAGAGGGCGGTGGTGAAGAGGGCGGTGGTGAAGAGGGGTGGAAGAGGGCGGTGATGAAGAGGGCGGTGATGAAGAGGGCGGTGATGAAGAGGGCGGTGATGAAGAGGGCGGTGATGAAGAGGGCGGTGGTGAAGAGGGCGGTGGTGAAGAGGGCGGTGGTGAAGAGGGCGGTGGTGAAGAGGGCGGTGATGAAGAGGGCGGTGATGAAGAGGGCGGTGATGAAGAGGGCGGTGATGAAGAGGGCGGTGATGAAGAGGGCGGTGATGAAGAGGGCGGTGATGAAGAGGGCGGTGATGAAGGGGCGGTGATGAAGAGGCGGTGATGAAGAGGGCGGTGATGAAGAGGGCGGGGTGAGGAAAAGGGCGGTGGTGAAGAGGGCGCTGGTGAAGAGGGCGGTGTGAAGAGGGCGGTGATGAAGAGGGCGGTGATGAAGAGGGCGGTGATGAAGAGGGCGGTGGTGAAGAGGGCGGTGGTGAAGAGGGCGGTGGTGAAGAGGGCGGTGGGAAGAGGGCGGTGGTGAAGAGGGCGGTGGTGAAGAGGGCGGTGATGAAGAGGGGGTGGTGAAGAGGGCGGTGTGAGAGGGCGGTGATGAAGAGGGCGGTGATGAAGAGGGCGGTGATGAAGAGGGCGGTGATGAAGAGGGCGGTGATGAAGAGGGCGGTGATGAAGAGGGCGGTGAGGAAAAGGGCGGTGGTGAAGAGGGCGCTGGTGAAGAGGGCGGTGGTGAAGAGGGCGGTGAGGAAGAGGGCGGTGATGAAGAGGGCGGTGATGAAGAGGGCGGTGAGGAAAAGGGCGGTGGTGAAGAGGGCGGTGGTGAAGAGGGCGGTGGTGAAGAGGGCGGTGAGGAAGAGGGCGGTGGTGAAGGGGCGGTGGTGAAGAGGGCGGTGGTGAAGAGGGCGGTGAGGAAGAGGGCGGTGATGAAGAGGGCGGTGGTGAAGAGGGCGGTGGTGAAGAGGGCGGTGGTGAAGAGGGCGGTGAGGAAGAGGGCGGTGATGAAGAGGGCGGTGGTGAAGAGGGCGGTGGTGAAGAGGGCGGTGGTGAAGAGGGCGGTGATGAAGAGGGCGGTGGTGAAGAGGGCGGTGGTGAAGAGGGCGGTGGTGAAGAGGGCGGTGAGGAAGAGGGCGGTGATGAAGAGGGCGGTGGTGAAGAGGGCGGTGGTGAAGAGGGCGGTGGTGAAGAGGGCGGTGGTGAAGAGGGCGGTGGTGAAGAGGGCGGTGAGGAAGAGGGCGGTGGTGAAGAGGGCGGTGGTGAAGAGGGCGGTGGTGAAGAGGGCGGTGGTGAAGAGGGCGGTGGGAAGAGGGCGGTGGTGAAGAGGGCGGTGGTGAAGAGGGCGGTGGTGAAGAGGGCGGTGGTGAAGAGGGCGGTGGTGAAGAGGGCGGTGGTGAAGTCCTACAATATTCATGAAACATCTGATAAAAGACTGTGTCCTTTGGGTTTCTCTCTGACTCGTGTGTGTTACTCTCTTCAGTGTTAGTTTCTTCAGTGTTAGTATCTGAAGTCAATAATTCCCTTTGACTGACGTGTTCAAAATGGATGCAGAAGTAAGGCAAAGATCTTCAAGTTAAACATCTGTATTTAATTTATCTTTACAATCAAATAACAGAAATTCAACAAGCTCCTAAACTATCTATGTCCCTCTCTGGCCCTGGTCTGCTTCTCCAGTTCCCGCCTCCAGCCAGAGCATATAAAAAGAACAGGAAGGAGGGGCGTGTCCTATCAGCCAGCTTCCGGTTCAGGGTCCGCCTTCCACCATCTGTTCTTCTCGTCCCCCGTCCGCACCTAAAAAGAATTCATGCTTTTCTAACCTACGTCTCCGGGCAGCTGTCTCTGGTCTGGCTTCATCCCTGCTTGTCTAAACAAATCCCCTCATTAGTCCCAACAGCCCGCTTTCCTACAGAACTGACCTGCATGTGCAGTACAAACACATCCCACTAATTAATCTAATATCTTAGTACAGGAAATCACCAAAAATATGAAGTAAATATATGTTAAGAAAGGTTATGTGTCTTATCATATGTCCATCTGAGTAGACTGGCAGACTCCAGTCGTCAACCCACTCCTGATGGAGTGGGTTCAATAGTGCAGAAGTCAGCAGGGGCCAAGGCTTAGGGCAAACAGTAGAAACCACCTGTTGTTTAGTTGCTGGCACAAGTAGACCCCTAAAATTAAATTAAAAAGACTGGCCTCCCACGCAGAGGTCGACAGGTCATAAAACACATGGTTTTTAGAATGTCACGTCTTTATAAATACAACATATCTTCAGGGTTAGTCTCTTCAGTGTTAGTCTCTTCAGTGTTAGTCTCTTCAGTGTTAGTCTCTTCAGTGTTAGTCTCTTCAGTGTTAGTCTCTTCAGTGTTAGTCTCTTCAGTGTTAGTCTCTTCAGTGTTAGTCTCTTCAGTGTTACTCTCTTCAGTGTTAGTCTCTTCAGTGTTAGTCTCTTCAGTGTTAGTCTCTTCAGTGTTAGTCTCTTCAGTGTTAGTCTCTTCAGTGTTAGTCTCTTCAGCGATACACAACATTTACACATTTACACTTTACACAAATAAAATCTTTTATGACCTCAGACTTGACTATTTTACTTTAGAATGTTCTATAAACTTGCTTTTTTCTGCCTGAGATGTTGCTGCAGTTCAGTGTTCATGGTTTTACACTGGTCCAGACCAGAGCAGAGAGGATTCATGGTTTTACACTGGTCTAGACCAGAGCAGAGAGGATTCATGGTTTTACACTGGTCCAGACCAGAGCAGAGAGGATTCATGGTTTTACACTGGTCCAGACCAGAGCAGAGAGGATTCATGGTTTTACACTGGTCCAGACCAGAGCAGAGAGGATTCATGGTTTTACACTGGTCCAGACCAGAGCAGAGGATTCATGGTTTTACACTGGTCCAGACCAGAGCAGAGAGGATTCATGGTTTTACACTGGTCCAGACCAGAGCAGAGAGGATTCATGGTTTTACACTGGTCCAGACCAGAGCAGAGGATTCATGGTTTTACACTGGTCCAGACCAGAGCAGAGAGGATTCATGGTTTTACACTGGTCCAGACCAGAGCAGAGAAAATGGTCTGAACCTCCTCCTGCTGCTGTGACCTGAAGGACTGATGTATTTTAATATTATTGTTGATACTTTTAGAATGTATTTATGTGTTTAGTTTGTATAAATGGATGTGTTTCTGCTGCTGCTGGACACCTGCATTTCTCCAACAGGATCAATAACGTATATATCTATCTATATCTTTATCTACTTTGGGAGCTATTGAAATGATGGGAGCTGTTAGTGTGAAATGTTGCTTACTGTAAACCTTGAATGTGACTGTCCTTGTGCAGGTGATGTCACAGGCAGAGGGTCAGCAGAAGACCCTGGTCCAGTCCATCGACGCTCTGCCCACCAAAGGCCCTCTGTCCTGCTTGGACCACGACCTGCTGCTGCTGAAGGCCACGTCCGCCGCCACGCTGAGCTGCCTGGGAGAGTGTCTGAACATCCTGCAGCAGACACAGTCCCACCCGACCCCCGCCGTGTCCCTGACCTCCCACCGGAACCACAGCGCCCCCTCTGGTGAGTCAGTGCTGCTAGATACCTCCCCTCTCTCCCCCCTTTGCCCCGGTGGTAAAGTCCCGCCGGGCAGACTGGACTCCTGCCTGGTGGCCATTACGAACTTCCATCTCTGTACTAGATGTTGTTGAATGTGTCGTTTGTGTTGTTTGTGTCGTTTGTGTCGTTTGTGTTGTCTGTGTTGTCTGCGGTGGAGGGTCCTGGGTGGTCGGTGGAGGATGGAGGATGGAGGGTGGAGGGTGCTGGGTGGAGGGTGGAGGGTGGAGGCGGCGTACTCTGTGTTTTTGTTACAATGACTCAGAAGTGAAGCTAAACCAGGAGCTGAAATGACATTAAAGTGCTAACATAGACTGTAGAAAGTGCTAACATAGACTGTAGAAAGTGCTAACATAGACTGTAGAAAGTGCTAACATAGACTGTAGAAAGTGCTAACATAGACTGTAGAAAGTGCTAACATAGACTGTAGGAAAGTGCTAACATAGACTGTCGGAAAGTGCTAACATAGACTGTGGAAAGTGCTAACATAGACTGTAGAAAGTGCTAACATAGACTGTAGAAAGTGCTAACATAGACTGTAGAAAGTGCTAACATAGACTGTAGAAAGTGCTAACATAGACTGAAGAAAGTGCTAACATAGACTGTAGAAAGTGCTAACATAGACTGAAGAAAGTGCTAACATAGACTGTAGAAAGTGCTAACATAGACTGAAGGAAAGTGCTAACATAGACTGTAGAAAGTGCTAACATAGACTGTAGAAAGTGCTAACATAGACTGTGGAAAGTGCTAACATAGACTGTAGAAAGTGCTAACATAGACTGTAGGAAAGTGCTAACATAGACTGTAGAAAGTGCTAACATAGACTGTCGGAAAGTGCTAACATAGACTGTAGAAAGTGCTAACATAGACTGTAGAAAGTGCTAACATAGACTGTAGGAAAGTGCTAACATAGACTGAAGAAAGTGCTAACATAGACTGTAGAAAGTGCTAACATAGACTGTAGAAAGTGCTAACATAGACTGTAGAAAGTGCTAACATAGACTGAAGAAAGTGCTAACATAGACTGTAGAAAGTGCTAACATAGACTGTGGAAAGTGCTAACATAGACTGAAGAAAGTGCTAACATAGACTGTAGAAAGTGCTAACATAGACTGTAGAAAGTGCTAACATAGACTGTAGAAAGTGCTAACATAGACTGTAGGAAAGTGCTAACATAGACTGAAGGAAAGTGCTAAAATAGACTGTAGAAAGTGCTAACATAGACTGAAGGAAAGTGCTAACATAGACTGTAGAAAGTGCTAACATAGACTGTAGAAAGTGCTAACATAGACTGTAGAAAGTGCTAACATAGACTGAAGGAAAGTGCTAACATAGACTGTAGAAAGTGCTAACATAGACTGTAGAAAGTGCTAACATAGACTGTAGAAAGTGCTAACATAGACTGTAGAAAGTGCTAACATAGACTGTAGAAAGTGCTAACATAGACTGTAGAAAGTGCTAACATAGACTGTAGAAAGTGCTAACATAGACTGTAGGAAAGTGCTAACATAGACTGTAGAAAGTGCTAACATAGACTGTAGAAAGTGCTAACATAGAGACTGTAAAAGTGCTAACATAGACTGTAGAAAGTGCTAACATAGACTGTAGAAAGTGCTAACATAGACTGTAGAAAGTGCTAACATAGACTGTAGAAAGTGCTAACATAGACTGTAGAAAGTGCTAACATAGACTGTAGAAAGTGCTAACATAGACTGTAGAAGTGCAACATGAAAGTGCTAACATAGACTGTAGAAAGTGCTAACATAGACTGTAGAAAGTGCTAACATAGACTGTAGAAAGTGCTAACATAGACTGTAGAAAGTGCTAACATAGACTGTAGAAAGTGCTAACATAGACTGTAGAAAGTGCTAACATAGACTGTAGAAAGTGCTAACATAGACTGTAGAAAGTGCTAACATAGACTGTAGAAAGTGCTAACATAGACTGTAGAAAGTGCTAACATAGACTGAAGAAAGTGCTAACATAGACTGAAGAAAGTGCTAACATAGACTGTAGAAAGTGCTAACATAGACTGTAGAAAGTGCTAACATAGACTGAAGTGCTAACATAGACTGTAGAAAGTGCTAACATAGACTGTAGAAAGTGCTAACATAGACTGTAGAAAGTGCTAACATAGACTGTAGAAAGTGCTAACATAGACTGAAGAAAGTGCTAACATAGACTGTAGAAAGTGCTAACATAGACTGAAGAAAGTGCTAACATAGACTGAAGAAAGTGCTAACATAGACTGTAGAAAGTGCTAACATAGACTGTAGAAAGTGCTAACATAGACTGTGGAAAGTGCTAACATAGACTGTGGAAAGTGCTAACATAGACTGAAGGAAAGTGCTAACATAGACTGTGGAAAGTGCTAACATAGACTGTGGAAAGTGCCGACCAGGAGCAACCAACGAGCTGTTTGTGCTATTCGTTAGCTGGAGATCAGTTTGGGGCTAGTAACAACCTGATTGGTTATTGGTTGATTAAGAAATAAACAAACTCTGACTGCCACCCTGACCCAGAAATGGATTAAGGGGAAGAAAATGGATGGATGGATAAAAATCAAAACCTGGTGATACTTCTTAAAAGTGATTTTGAGCCACATTTCTCCATTCTCTTTAGGCCTCAGCAAGCTAGCATGTTAGCATGTTAGCATGTTAGCTTTGTCTCTCCCTAGTATACACGTCTACGGTGCTAATGTGCTTTAAAAATACAGCAGAGTTCATGGAAGTATTATCCAACAGTATTCTGGTTCTTTATCTTTTCTTGAGCAGTGTTAAATTATGAATAAGTATCTAAAGGATAAATAAGTAATCATGCACTTACATCTATAAACATCTATAAACATCTATAAACATTTACAAGCTTCATTAATGAGAGTAGTGTAAAAACAAAAGCCTTACATCTGTAAATGTTCCATTACTGCCCACCTTTGCCTGTTCCATTTTATTTCTTGTTTCTGGTCTTTTCTGTCATTTTTCATTCATTATTGTTCAATGTATTTAAATGCATTGAAAAAGTGGTGAATATTCCGTCGATGTCCCAAACACTCCAAGGTTTGTGTTAAGCCTCTGCAGGTCCAAAGGTTCTCTCTGTGTCAAACCTAATAAAGTCTGCTCTGAACCTTCGGCCTGAGCTTTTCTCTGGGCATCGTAGTCTTTTCAAACTGGAGACTGAACACGTTTGTTGTGGATGAGTATTTAAAGATTAGTGAATGTGTTTTCTTGTGTGTCATGAGTTCTGTGTTTGTCTCCGATCGTGACGGCGTCGGAAGAAAGAAGGCGGAGCTCAGGAAACAAAGCTTTTAGCAGATTACTGTGTTACTGGAAACCTGCAAACGACCTGCGCTAAATATAGAAATATCCACTGACCCCAGTCACACACATATATATAAATATATATATATTTATATATGAACCATGGTCGCCGTGGTGACTCAATAGTAACTCATCAGTCGCCAGAATAATGACATGTTTAAACTAAGTTTAATTAAACACTGTTTCCAAATGAAACGCTGTTGTGCAGGTTTGTCTGAATAGAACGAGCCACATTTGTTCCAAACAGAAGGTAACGTTTGTATTTTAATCCTCTTCTAACATGTTTAATGTGATGCACATGGTACAGCACATGGTACAGCACATGGTACAGCACATGGTACTGCACATGGTGCATGCATGCAGGACCCTCTCGGTGTCTTGGTGTCGGACCCTCACAGTTGCTGCTGTTGTGTTTGCGCCCACAGTCAGCCTGTGCTGTAGCTGCTCCTCAGACAGGGGCTGGTGTGGAGTGGGACGTCCCGGCTGCAAGTACTGCTCCCCTCTCTCTCTCTTTCCGTCGTTTGGCATATTCAGTTTGACCACTAGGGGGCGCAGGTGCTCCTGCCTCTGGCATGTGGTGCTGGTGCTTGGTGCAGGTCCCAGGACAGTGGCATGAGAGCAGCTGACACAGGGCTGTGGCTGGTGGGTTTAATACTGCAGCTCTGCATGGACGGGACCAGCATGATGGGTCCTGCTGGGTCCTGCTGGGTCCTGCTGGGTCCTGCTGGGGCCTGCTGGGTCCTGCTGGGGCCTGCTGGGTCCTGCCGGGGCCTGCTGGGTCCTGCTGGGGCCTGCCAGGTCTTAACAGGTCCTGCCGGGGCCCGCTGGGTCCTGCCGGGGCCTGCTGGGTCCTGCTGGGGCCTGCTGGGTCCTGCCGGGGCCTGCTGGGTCCTGCCGGGGCCTAACTGGTCCTGCCAGGGCCTGCCAGGTCTTAACAGGTCCTGCCGGGTTCTGCCGGGTCCTGCTGGATCCTAACAGGTCCTAAAAGGTCCTAACAGTTCCTAACAGGTCCTGCCCTGAAACAAATGCTTGGTCATTAGTCGGTATTAACATGAACTAAACCTTGAACACAGTCACACATGAGACCATATGGATCTTGCATATTGCATTTTCTTTCCAAGAAAAAGTAAAGGAACGCATCTGTATGCAAGGTTTCCCTTAAAGATGGTTTCTGCTGCTGAGGCTGAGACCGAGGCCGAGGCCGAGGCCGAGACCCAGGCCGAGGCGGAGGCTGAGAGGCTGAGGCTGAGGCCGAGACCGAGACCCAGGCTGAGGCTGAGGCTGAGGCTGAGACTGAGACTGAGGCTGAGACCGAGGCTGAGACCGAGGCTGAGACCGAGGCTGAGACCGAGGCTGAGGCTGAGGCTGAGGCTGAGGCTGAGGCTGACTGAGGCTGAGATCGAGGCTGAGACCGAGGCTGAGGCTGAGGCTGAGGCTGAGGCTGAGGCTGAGACTGAGACTGAGACTGAGACTGAGGCTGAGACTGAGACTGAGACTGAGACCGAGGCTGAGACTGAGAGACTGAGGCTGAGGCTGAGACTGAGGCTGAGGCTGAGGCTGAGGCTGAGGCTGAGGCTGAGACCGAGGCTGAGACTGAGACCGAGGCTGAGGCTGAGACCGAGGCTGAGGCTGAGACCGAGGCTGAGACTG